CATTGAACTAAGTTGGAATATTTCCTCATTACCATATCCACTATTGATCGATTACTTTTTTTCAGGCCTCTATACCTGAATTCATACATGTCTAAATTTGACTTATTTACTCCTAAGATAGAAAATGATTAGCTAAGATAAATTGGAAGGGTGAACTAAAATAAGTTTTCTTTGAAATTTTTGTTGACCTATTGTATGGTCACAAGTAATGCTAGCCATTTCCCCCTTTTCTTAACAATGAAGAAAGCCTAGTTATTTGCATTTATAGATTTCCAACTCACTTGTCAACATCCTCTCAGATCTCACAAAAATTAGAATATCTTATTTGCTACCGATATTTTTAAATTTAGTACTTAGCAGTTGTTAAACTAACTTAGAGGGTTTTTGTTGTTGTTTTTTTTTTGTAGTTTAAAATTATTTATTAAAATACTCATACTGCTCTTGGTCCAGGTTTTAGCAACCAGCATTTTAAGTTTGAAGTTTTTTGTTTGGTTTGGTTGAAGGGAGAAAGGCAGTTAATATTTTAAAACTATCACCTAGCTCAGGGCAGTTGAATAAATTACCAGCAAACCTACTAAAAAGCTTAACTGTTTATTAACCCTGAAGGATCAGCCATTTAAGCTTGTAAAGAAACCAGAATCCAGAGGCATTGCTCAGGAAACAATGTTTGGGTGGCAGAAGAGGAAGCATCAGTTTTGAAATAGGAAGAGAAGGAGCCTGCTGAAGAGTTCAAAGCCAGAAACTAAAACAATGCGCTGTTACCCTTGAGTGATGAAACCAAGCTTCATGAAGGTATAAAAAATAAATTAGCCACTGATACTGCCCATGACCTGAGACTTTGTATATGACGAAGAAAAATGAGCCAGGTGTGATGATAGGAATCTCAGATGCTCAAGCTAAATAAAATTACCAAAGAGTTTGAAAAGGTTGCTTTACAGGATCAGTGCATCATGGCATCAGACTCTTGGAAAGAAATTCAGGAGCCAAATAGGGAGTGCCATGGTCTGAGAGTAGAGAAACTCGTGAGTAAAAGTCTCATGCAGCCCAGATATAAAGAGAGCCTGATGTTCCTGGAAATAAGAAAAGACCAAATTCGAGCCTTACGTCTGAAACAGTGTCAAGGCAACGCCATAATTCCCGGAATTTGAAGTTATCCATAAATGAACTAACATTAAGTTCCATACCACCTCCATTATACCTTAGCTAATTAACAGGTCACAAAAATACAAATAATTGACAAGGAGATCAAAACAACTTGTCTGAAAGATTGATAACTATGATGACTTTCTCAAGTTTAACATATGCAAAGTGTGCAAAAAGCATAGTAAAAATGATTAGAAGTAGATTGATAAATCTTTGGGTTTTTGAAATGTGATGATAGTTATTAAAAGATGTGTATAGTTGGTTTATTGCTAAATTTTGTTGTTTTTTCAGGTCCCAAAACAGTTTTTTTCTGGGCTCCGATTATGAAATGGGTAAGTCTTGAGTTTTTGCAAAAGCTACTGAAAAAAATATTCTGTAATAGAAACATGTTAATTTGAAGTAACTTTTATAAAGGATGTACTTTTAAATATTCATACTATGCCTCTAAATGATTTCATGCAAATATTCTCAGATATATCATTTTTATTTCATAAAGCACACTTCGTTTTTTTCTGAACTCCTTATGATAAAAGGCCTTCTGGGAACATAGTTGTTATCAAAAAGCTTACAATTGTGAGCCCTAGGAACATGCAATTTTATCGTAAAATTTTATGACTAAGTAAAACATTAAATTAGTTAGAACCCTCCAATTAGCTGTTGTTATTAGTTCAATATGAGAACTGAAGATACTCCAAAATAAAGGCAAGAAAGTCTCAAAAAGTAGAAGCATTTATCCAAGAGTATATATTAACATTTAGTAAATGATAGTCCAGGACTTCTGACTCCAAGAGTAGCGCTTTTGCCAGTGTTTCCATTCCTAAAGATCTCATTTTGCTGGAAAGAATTGTGGTGGCTATTTGTAGCCAATCGTTGGTTTTCTGTTGAAAAGGGCCAGTTTCCGCCTATAGCAATGCTTCTCAAAGTGTCATCCCTGGACCTGTAGCATTGACATCACCCAGTAACATGGCAGAAATGCACATTTTCAGGCCCCATCACAGATTTTCCGAATCTGAAACTCTGGGCATGGAGCCTAGTAATTTGTGTTTTAATAAACCCTCTAGGGCAGCGGTTCTCAGCCTTTCACAGGGGTCGCCTAAGACCATCAGAAAACACATATTTTCGATGGTCTTAGGAACCGAGACACCGCTCCTCTATCCGCTTCCAGGCCCACATGCAGATACGCCCACATACGAGTACCCGGCGACCCCTGTGAAAGGGTCATTCGACCCCCAAAGGGGTCGCGACCCACAGGTTGAGAACCACTGCTCTAGGTGATGTTGATGCCTTCTGAAGTTTGAAAACTTACGGCCTATAGGCTTTTTTTTGTTGTTAATTGTAGTAAAATACAAATAAAATGGACCATCTTGACCATTTTTACAGTGTTAAGCATATTTATATCGTTGTGCAACCAATCTCTAGAAGCCTTTTCATCTTGCACAACTAAAACTCTACCCATTAAACAATACCTCCTCATTCCCCCCTCCCCACTGCCCGTGGCACCCACCATTCTACTTTCTATCTCCATGAATGTGGCTACTCTAGGGACCTCATATAAGTGCAATCATACAGTATTTGTCTTTTTGAGCCTGGCTTATTTCACTTAGTGTCTTTAAGGTTCACTAATGTCGTCANCACACACACACACACACACACACACTATGGCATTTCTATATGTACACGTGTTTGTAAGAATGCAAAGAAAAATGTCTGGATGAATATTGAGGAAACATAATATTGTTACTGGGTGTGTGTGAAACGAATGGGAGGGATCAAGGGATTTTTGCCTCATTTTTATTGTTTTTACAAGGAGAATGTATTCATATGTCACTTGAAACACTAAAAAACAAGAAAAAAAATGCTTCCAACTTATCTCAAATAATTTACAAACCAAAGCTGTTAAATGTAATGAGGTTTCATTTTCTTTTCTTGACTTGAAGTCAACACCAAGTGACATCAACAAATACCTACCTAGCAAAAAGTGAGAAAATCAGAAAAAAAATGTGTAAATGATGTTTGATGGTCAGATAAAAAAAAATCAAGAGTAATGAAAAAGACCGCACAAGAAGAAACAAACAAACAAAAAAGACCCGTACTAAATACGTCCGCTTTCAAGGTGCTGGACCTTTCAGGGGTGACCCAGAATCCTCACAAAACTACTTGATCCAAAACGAAAAAAAGTGGAATACTGCTCCCTGAAGCACTGAAGGTTGTTTTTAGAAAGCTTAACTGAGAAACAGTAAATGCCAAGTGTGTGGGTTGCAGGGGTGGGAATGGGAACGTGAAACCCTACACCTCCTTAAAGCGGTCAAAACCAAGCGAACAGCGGAGTCAAGCTGGGAGAGCGCGCGGGGGTGGGGAGAACTCAGCTATCACTTTTAGGTTTTGGCTCTGAGCCTCGGGACAGTTTACGCGGAGTCTGCACGGAGCGTGAAGTCCCCGAGGGTGGTCGTCGCTTCGCAGCCGGCACCTAAACCCTCCGGAGATCGAAGGAAAAGAGGGCGTCAGCAAAAACTTAGAGGTCCTTCGGCTGAACCGGGAGAGCGGTGGCTGCGAGCAAGAGCGCCAACTTTTGCTCCAAACACTCCGGGAGGTCCGACAGGTCTTCTCCCGAGTCTCACCCCAGAAGCGACCCCAACACCTTTCCTGGCCGGTACCGTCCGGCCCCTCGAGCAAAACCCAGCAAGGGCGGCGGCTGGCAGCGTGCAAAGGGACTTGGCCGTAGGACAGGGCGCGGGTCCGTCTGCCGGGGTCCACCCAGCGCCCCGGGGTCTCGGGGGCGACCGGGCCGAGACGCTGTCCCACCTCCAACAGCCCCCGACCGCGGCCCCCTCCCCCCACCTCCGGGCGGCGACCTCGGCGCCTCCGCCCCGGGGCCCCCGCTCACCCAGGTAGCGGCTCCGCAGCCGGGACGGGTCCTCCAGCCCAAGGGACCTTTTCCTCACGTCCCACAACAGGTGTGGGCAGGAGCCACCCCGAGACATGGCTCGGCCGGGGTGGGAGGGGAGCCCACCGCGTGGGGGAGGGGAGGGGGGAGGGGACACGCGATCAGCCCCCGAGCCGCACCGGCACCATCCGCGCGCCGGGCCTCGCGGGCGGGCGCAGCGACTCAGATGGCGGCGGCGGCGGCGCCTTCGCCTCCGAAGCCCGGCCGCGCCCGGGCCGGAGCTCGCCTCATACTCTCGTCAGACTACCCAGAACATCCAGAGATCAGCTCCAGTCCCCTCCCTCGGCCCCTCCAACGGGAGGAGGAGGAGGAGGCGGAGGCAGCCGCGACTCCACCTTTCCCGGTTCTCCACACCCTCCCGTGCAAGCTCTTCTCGCGAGATGACTACCACCCGGGGGAGTGAGGCTTCTGCGCCACGGCTGCCCTCACCCTGGAAAAGTGGGTTCAGGCCGTTGCCCCCAAATCCTTCCTCCTCTGTGGATAAAGGAGGAAGACAGAGAAGCTGAGAGCTGAAGTCTCTCGCTCACGAGCCTCATTCTAAAGGAGACAAGCGAGTTGTGCTGCGTCATCTTTAGTTGGGGCAAGGAGGGCCCGACAAGCCCGTTTTAACTACGGGGCCTCCTTCATCCAAGTGAAAGGGGAGCCTACAGCAGCGGCAGCTTCACTTTCCCTTCTCCAACATGGCCTCCAGGGCAGGAAGGAGAAATGGGAGGTTCGCGCTGGGCCCCGCCCCCGCCGCGGGGCGGGCCAATCGCCGTGGGCAGCTCCGCTCACGCAGGCGCGCTGCCGCAGGGCGCTGGGCGGACTCGCGGAGGCAATGCTGCGGGCACCTGTTGTGGTGACTCCGCCTCCCTGCCCGCGGAGGGAAGGCAGGAGGCCGGCCCAGGGCGGGCCGTCGCGGTGCCTCCGCCTCCTCAGCCTCTGCTGGGCCGAGGCCCCTGGGAGACTCGCAGGGGGGCAGCCTGAGCCGCGAAGGGCACCCTAGGCGAGAGGAGAACGCGAGGTCCTGGGACGGGGAAGAAGGGACGAGCTGCCCTTCGCTGTCAGCCAGGAACGAGTGCGCGGCCACCCTCTCGCCCGGCCGGCCACCATCGCTCGTCCTCAGAGATGTCAGCCGCCGGCGTCCGCGGCCTGAGGGCCACCTACCACCGGGTCCTCGATAAAGTGGAGCTCATGCTGCCTGAGAAACTGAGGCCGTTGNCCCGTCCTGTTTGGAATGGTGCTCATGTATGCAACAGCTGTTCAGGGTTGGAGGCCGAGTTGGTGAGGGGTTCTTGTATAGGAAATTGGTCCATTTGAAGAGTGATTCAGCCACTCAGGTATTGTCACCACTGAGTCACTTAAAAAAGCAGTCCACAGGTTAGAACGTAGCAGGTGGAGAAAAAGAAATAGGAAAGGAGGTGGATGAATGGAAGTCAGACCTCCTCCATTCTCAGCTTTTCTTCCTAGAGATCTGTTTGGGAACTGTGTGCTGTGACCATAAGATCCTGAACATCGGCCTTAAATATGAACACGGACCCTCCAAAAGAAGAAGTCCAAGACCGGGCCATCGTCAAATTAGCAGCTCATTTACCAGACCTCATTGTCTACGGAGATTTCTCTCCAGGGCGACCCTCTGTGGATCATTTTGATGGAGTCTTGATGTTTGTTGATATTTCAGGCAAGCGCTAAAGGGATGTTTAATGTGGGTGAACAACAGGCTCGCATCGAAAATCACACACAGGGCTTGCGTAAAGAGTGCAGGCGCCATTACTGAGCTTTTGTGCTGGTCCAACAGCTAGTCCCTACTGAGGAAACAGGTGGGAGGAAGGATGGCTGTCTCATCTCCCCTTACCAAGCATGTCCAGTCACAGGCAATCTTTAAGGTGCCCAAATCCCACACCTGGAACCTTAGGCTCTCATGTCCCTGCCCCATCTTCACTGACTCAGCACCCCCAGGCCCCACACATACACCCCAAGCAAAACTGACCTCCAGGAAATGGTCTCCCCAGATGCTGTTTACATCTTACCAGTAAACTGGCCACCTCGTGAGAAGTGTTAGCATTTTGTGTGTTTTCATTGGCATAGAATAGAAGTTCTAGGCCCAGTTTAAAGAATTGCAGTCATCTCTGTACAAGTCGAGAAATGTGAAGGGAAGAGCTATCTACCTGGTGCTTTTCCCTGACCCCTCAAAGAATAAACAAAGATAGAGAAGGCTGCACAGCTGACCCCTGAGCAGCCACAAAGACTGTTAAGAAGAAACCCTGCCAGCTCTCAAAAGCTGAGGCCCACTGTGCTCCAGCGTGGTCCTCTGCTGGTTCTGTCTGGTTCCTCCAAGCAGCCAGGGAGACCAGCTGCACGTTTCTTACAGGTTTTACCGCAATGACTGAGAAGTTCAGCACAGCCATGTACATGGACCGAGGGGCCGAGCAGTTGGTGGAGATCCTTAACTACTACATAAGCGCCATAGTGGAGAGTAAGTGTCCCCGTGGGCGCCTGACTTAAGACCATTGCAATTCTTTGTTTTTCTGTATTTGGTGGTTCTAACCCAGTAGAGTCCTATTGCTTAGCACCCATCATTTTCCCCGTGAAACCAGTCTTTTTTTGAAATATAATACAGTACAAGTGAAGGAATGTAAATAAACCTCACTAATCCAGAGTTCCGGAGGGAAAGAATGCTTTGCATTTGTTAAAATATCGAATTAGAGCCTACTTTTAAAAGACCTGTAGCAGTAATGCTCTTAGCTATTATTCAATGGCGGCAAACACGGTCACTAAGAGAATGCTATGTATAGATGAGTGATTTACAGTGAACACATCAGTCATATGTTTGCTTATGATGCATTCTGAAGCACTTAGAGCCGACTGGGAAGTCTGGTCTCCTTTTCAACCTCTGCCGCCATCTTGTTGGCATTATTGGAACTATTCATGAAGAAAAGGACTTACTTTATTAAGGTAAAGTCTAGATCTAGTCTTTCATCAGGCTTTAAGTTTCCTAGTAATTCCTTAAGATAACCCACTGAACAAAGTTTAATGCTCCTGAAAAACAGAAACGGTATCTAATTCTTTTTTGTCTCCCCCTCAGTACAACAGTGTTCAACAAATGTGTGATGAAGCATAAATAAGAGGGGGGAAAAGGTCCATTTATGGCCTAAAGCCTAAGTAAACAAAACGCAAGTGGACCACGATTGTGGTTTCCCAATTTTCTGAATCTCGGTTCTGATTATGACTCCTGTCACGCATCCACTTACACAAGCTCACTCCAGCCCCAGCTCATAACAACATCCATCAGCGAAAAGCCTTCCATTGTCATCGGAGGAGGGTAGCTGTCCTCAGACCTCATCAGAAATCCCACCTCCTCCTTTCCTATCTCCTCCCACTCACAGAAACAGAACATGTACACAATCTAGTTCCATGCACTCATCCCACAGTTGAGGAAACACATTCACGTAGGGTTAAGTGCCTTGTCTGAAACAACATCTCTAGGATAGGCCTCTTCTCTGAATTGCTGTTCTCTCAACCTGATTTCGATGCTACTGATGAAGAATGAACACTTTTTATTTGCTTTAGGAAATCAGTGTCTGATCTGACTTTTCTTTTTTTCACAGAGGTGTTGCTTTTTGGAGGAGACATCTTAAAATTTGCAGGTAGGGGGCTTCCTAAGTTGGAGGGCGGGGGTCAGACAGGAGCCCTGCGATGCCTGTGTAGCGCCACAGGAGGCATCTCAGAGATAGCAGTTGCCAGGAGACTGGGGTGAGGGTGGTTTCTGTACAGGCTTCCTACAAAATAGGCTGATCCCCAGGGCAGGTCAAGAGCCCCTGGTGTGTCTGTCTCCTCAAGGTGATGCACTTCTAGCCCTGTGGAAGGTGGAGCGAAGGCAGCTGAAAAACTTCATCACCGTGGTGATTAAATGTAGCCTGGAGATCCATGGATTGTTCAAGAGCCAGGAGTCAGAAGAAGGCCTGGATATCCGAGTCAAAATAGGTAAGCCCTGGAGAAAGAGGAGACAGATGCTGTAGCAGTTGGATATGGTCCTGACTCCTGAGGCATCTCTGTCCCAAAGAGAAAACAGTAGAACAGTGGGCCAGCCCCACCAGCGTATCCTGAACTTGGGAAGTAGGCTAACTAAAATGTGAATTTGCGCCCCGCTCCCTTACCAGCTAAGAGAATTCAGGCTGGTCCTAATTATCTCCCTCACAGGCTACTATTACTGTTGTTGTGGTTAGGGCTTGCTGCTGTCAACAGTGTGTGCCACTGACTACAACAGAGAGCAGCTTGTGATTTCATTCAGCAATGTCCTAAGACTGGTCACCGCACTTCATAAGAAACATGCACAAGGAAAGCTTAACGGGTCAGCCTATGATGCGGCTCCAGCTTCGTCGAGGGCTTCTTAAGTTCATACATAGAATAACAATCACATGTCTTTCTATACTGTGTAGCAGACAATACTCACATGATGTCATTCCTGCTTCGCCACAGTCATGAGGTAGAGGCGTCATGATGCCCAGTTCACGGGCAAGGAATGGCCTTCTGAGGGGCGCGAACCATGGGTTGCCGCTGGTGCTGTTGGTGTTAGCTTCTGCCCAACCAACTTTGCAAACATAGAATTCTGAAGCATTGGAGACGAGGAGCAAACACATCGGGGGTCACCCAATTACCTATCTCTCAGCTTTCTTTGTTACTCGAAATTTCCAAATGACTTAGGTCTTCTGTTGAAAAAAAAGTCAAAGTCATTATAATACTGAATATTTTCCCCAAGCCAACCCTGGAGAGTATGATGTACTATCCTGGAGACCCATGGGGACCTAAACGCTTCATGCACATGCTGATTGGCTGTTAGACAGACAGGGTGGTGCCAGGACTGTTTCTTTGAAGGAGTTCAAGCCTCAATGTGTTTCAGAGGGGTGAATATATGTCAGCATCGAAAAATCAGCACAGCAGAGAGCAAAGGTTAAAAAAAAACCCACTTAATACTCATTAGGCATTTAAAAGAAGTGTGCATCCCTTATAGTTCATTTATATATACGTTTGTGTACATGTCATATTTTACATCATTCTGCCTCCCGTTGCTCCAGTAACAAAACCTCCGGTTCCCCACTTGAGAACAGTTGGAGGCCACACTTGGATGGGACGCCTGCCTGTCAGAACGCCTTCTCCGTTCCCCAAACTCTGGCTGTTGCCTGAAATTTGAGCCTAAGTGTTTCTTTTCTGTTAAAGCATCAATCTCTGATAAAATGCAAATCCTCCCCAAATAGGAAGTCCTTCTCTGTGGTCCTTAAGAATAAGTAAGTTGAAGAAAAAGTAAAGCAACTTTGGGGACTGCTACGGTGGGCCATGTAGGGGACAAACGATACAGGAGAGTGAAAACCCGTAGCTGACTTTCTCAGTTTAGGAGAAAAGCAGTTCAGGAGGAAGGGGCTCAGGGGAGGCAACGCTCTGATCTCTATGTCAAGTTTTGAAGCTAGATTTTGCCCCGAGGTGGTACAGTCACACCAAGGTTCTGATTTTCCAAGAAGCCGTGCTGCTGGGGAACAGCCCAGAACTTCCCATACAAGCCCACTGTTTGCTTTCGCGCAGGCCTGGCCGCTGGCCACATCACCATGCTGGTCTTTGGAGACGAAACCCGGAGCTTCTTCCTGGTGATTGGTCAGGCGGTGGAAGACGTGCGCCTAGCACAGAACATGGCACAGATGGACGATGTCATTCTGTCCCCAAACTGCTGGCAACTCTGTGACCGGAGCATGGTTGAAATCGAGAGGATTCCAGATCAGAGAGCAGTTAAGGTTCGCATAATGTTGCCGCTTACAGCAAGTTCTGCCCGTCTGTGCCAGGGTCGCCCTGTCAGAAAAGCCACCGGGAAGGGGGGCGCTAGCAATCTTTTACTGGCAATAGTCCTAATTCCTTTTGGGGCACCAGCCCTTCTGCCCCTTTACATGTATAAGAAAGAAGTGGTGTACAGTTTAACCAGATCTTATTTGAATTAAAATGTTATGAAAGAAATGTAGAAAAGTATACAGGTGAGCACCCTGGAATGGTCATCTGTGTATATACTGAAGACGGAGAGCTTAATGACTAACTGGGGAGATTTTTAATGTAATCACGTCCAAATGAAAGAACGTCATTGTTTAAATATGCCCATCTCTGTGTGTCATGTCCTGGACACTCAAAAGCATATTCCCTGCCCTTTCTGCTGAGAAATTACATTCAAAGGACTGGAGAACCCTCAGCATAACCAAAAACTTTTCTTTCTTTTTAAAACATAGGTGAATTTCTTAAAACCACCCCCTACTTTTAACTTTGATGAATTTTTCACAAAGTGCATGACTTTCATGGGCTACTATCCTTCTGGCGACCACAAAAGTAAGTACCCCCCATGGACAAGAGCCTCTGCCTCTACCAGCAGCCGATGGGGTCTTACGCCAATGCCAAGGGCTACATCACGCAGGGTGGGTGTCCTCAGTACAGCGCCCCATCCTGAGCAGCACACAAAGGGGACCTCCTCCCGTCCCCCACAACAGCCTTCCTTAGGTCCCTACCTCTGCCCTGGCAACGACACCTTTCCCTCATCTTTCAAACACATACACACCTCCCCTACGATGAAAGAAAAAAATGAAACGCCTGTGAACCCTGCTTGCCCCTCCTCACCGTCACCACCAACCTGCTCACGAGCGTAATCTGTGTGTCCATGCCTCTTCTCTCCACCCTCTCACTCATTTATTCGCCCCGTAGACATTGGCTGCATGTGCCTCAGGGCTATATGCTCACCCACCCTTCAGTCCTGCGCCCCGGACATCCAGCTTCTCACCCCTTCTCCTCCTGTCCACTGAGACTGCTTATGTCAAGGTCACTCATGCCCATCAACTTGCCCCATCCGAGGTGACTGGCCTTAGAGTGCTCTTTTTCTGGACGCTGTCTTTGCCTCTTTCCTTGGGTTCAAGAATATGTTTCCCTAGTTTCACTTTTACCCCTCGAACCCTCCATTTTCAGGGCCCTTTGCTTAGTGTCCTTCGATTCCTTCAATGTTGGTGATCTCAGGGACCTGTCCTTGGTCCTCTAGTCTCCGCCACTCACCTCTTGAAGAACCGTCACTTGAGCTTGACTTCCCTGTGACTCCCCGCAGGGCTGGGATGAGGGTGAGGAAAGCAGGGGCCTAGGGCACACAATTTAAAGACACCCTACTCTCCAGGTTTTGCAAGTTGTCCCAGACTTGTCCTGCGTCACAAGCTCATAAAAAACTGCCTATGGGCCGTCCCCCCAAATGTCACACACGCACTCCCAACATTGACGTGTTGTTGAAACACGATGAAGATGTTTTAGATGCTGCAAACAAACCTCATTGTACACTTTATGACATGGGCTTTTGGAGAACTGCAAAATGAGGCGGAAGGCAAGAAGCTTGCATAGGGTAAAGAATAAAGAACAGGAAGAGACAAATAGAAAAGATCTGATTGGCTGGGGCCTACACAGCCAGCCATATTTGGGGTGAGAAGGCCCAGAATTGGCTTGGCGTCTGGGGAAACGCTGACTGGATGGACTGCACGTCTGGTCAGGCAGAGCATCTCTAGGGACAGAAAGTCTCCTAAGTTTCAGTTTGCTTCCAGGCCCACTAGGGCAATGGGGTGACTCATCTAGGCTTCCGCAGACAGTTGCTCTCGAACCTGGGATGAGAGACCAGTCTCCTGAATGTTACTCCTGCTGTTCTTCCCAGCTGATCGTCCCCTTCCGTCAGCATCATTCTCTGTCAATCGTCCTCCCCTTACCTGTCCATTCTCATCACCTGTGGCATTAGCTTTAGCTCAAGTCTGGAGGTAAAAAGCCCCTCAAGTTCCAAAGTGTGATGATAATCAGAACAGGGCCGTGGCTGCATGCACCTGAATTTTGGGGAACCCACAACCCCTAAGAACATCTCCTTGGATTTCCCTTGGCCCTACTTAGCCACAGGGGCCCCAGAGTCCCCTGACTGAGCTGTGAAGACCACTCACTGCCCAGGGGAACGGGGCCTGGGAAGCTCCCCTCTCTAGCGCTGCAGGGCCAAGCCTCTCTTGCTGAGCCCGCCCCTCCTCCTGCCCGTAGACCTCCTGAGGCTTGCGTGCGTGCTGGAGCCCAATCCCGAGATGGAGCTGTCCCTGCAGAAGTATGTGATGGAGAGCATATTGAAGCAGGTATTGCCATAATTTAATTTATTGGCTTTCGGGGTGTCAGGGACCCTGGACGGCTGGAAAGATCAAGAAAACCAGTAGTTAGTAATATGTTTCATTGAAATAAAAGAGGTGAGGCTGACATTCTTCACGTGTAGGGGGCTATGAAATGCATTGTTCAAATCAGGATACTTTTCAGAGTTAAAGAGACCTTGTTCATAATTGCACTGTGACAGCAGACATAAACTAGGACCATGTCACATACAACTGGGCAAACTGGAAGTGTCCCAAGCCTATGAGGACCTACGGTCACCCTTTCTATATGCCACATAGCAGAAAGATACCAGTGGATAAGCATCGGTACACTGTTTCTCTAAGTCCCTTGTATTAGCTCTTAAGCTTTTAAAGGTCACAATATAGATAATTAGAACTCTCAGAACTCTCAGAAGCTCCAACCCCCAAAGTTCCCCTTTACACCCACTTAGATCTAGGCTCTCTCAAATGTATGACTCCCAGGGAATTATAACTGTCTCAGCACTCACCATCCACCAGGCACTCACCATCTGCCAGGCACTCTGCTGTTTCATAGATTTATTCTTCCCAATCCCAGGTAGATAGCTTTATCTCCATTTTACATATGAGGAAACTGAGGCCCAGAAGGATACCAAACACTTTCCTGAGGTTGTAAAGTAAGAGATGTAGCTAGGATTTGAACACTGTTTTACCTGAATCCTACATTTTTTGCACTGTCTATCTACCCTCCTAACGTGTGCCTATTTTAATCCTTAATCCCACCAAAATGCAATTGTGTCCTGGAGGAAATCTTTGTAGGACAAGCATGAACAGTGGGCAGCTGCCTTCGTAGTGTGGGTTGAAAGGTGTCAGGATGCACCCCAATTTAAAAACACTACCTCTAGCACCTGCAATCGTTTGACTCTTCAACATTTTTTTAAAAAACTTTATTGGGGAACAGTGCATTTTTCCAGGACCCATCGGCTCCAAGTCAAATAGTTGTTTCAGTCTAGTTGTGGAGGGCGCAGCTCGTTGGCCCATGTGGGAATCAAACCGGCAACCTTGGTGTTATGAGCCTGCGTGCTAGCCACCTGAGCTAACCGGCCACCCTACTCCTCAACATTTTTGAAGCGCATGAAAGCTGCCCTTTTCCCCTCCCTACCACCAAGAGATATGACACTTGATGCGTTTTCACCTACTGCCAGCTGAGAGTAAGGCCTCCCATCTGCTCGACTTCAGGCTGGCTCTGCCGTGCCGTGCCTCACATGGTGATCACTTCAGCTTCCCCAGAGAATCTCGAAAGGCCAGCTCTCTCCCAGTGATCATTTCCCGTGTGGGGGTGGGGGTGATGTTGGGAGGCAAAAGCCACCACCGAGGACGGACGCTAAGGAAAGTCTCTCTCTCGGCAGATTGATGACAGACAGCTCCGGGGGTATTTGTCAGAGCTCCGCCCAGTGACCATCGTGTTTGTGAACCTGATGTTTAAGGGACAAGAGAAAGCAGAAGCCATAGGCGTGGCCGTCCAGGACGCCTGCGTGTACATCAGTTCTGTCCTGAGGGTCTTCAGAGGCCAAATCAATAAAGTCTTCATGTTTGACAAGGTAAGAGGTGGGGACCTCGCCGTGATCTGAGGTCCGCGCACAGGCCCAGGGACATGGGTGAGAGGGAGGGACTAGACACTCAGAACCTGGAAGCCTCAGCCTTCATTTCACGTATAACAACAGCTCATATGGGGATATGGCGCTGACTATGGTCCAGGCGCTGTGCTCAACGCTTCACATAGATGAACGCATTCCATCCTCATGACTGCTCTGCGAGGTAGGCGCTCCTCCTAGTATCCCCATTTTTACAGGTGAGGTGGTTGAGGTTTAAAAAGTGTGCGAAGCACTTGTAATGCCTGGCTCACAAACATCACTCAGAAAGTGAGATCTGCTCAGAGGAGAAGCTGAGGGTGGCAAGCTGGGAGGGGTGGGGATGAGGGAGAAGGGGAAGGGACGAGACAATACAAACTGGTAACTGCAATATGGCCTCAGGGATAGACAAGACAGTCTGGGGAATATAATCAATAATGTTGTAGATATTTCTTGGGGGGCTAGATGGACTCATGTCTGGTGGGGGAGACCACTTCATGGTCGGTATGGAGGCCTGCCCACCACACTGTATTTCTGAAGCTGATGTTGAATAATACTGTATGTCAACTATAATTACATATACATGTAGTCACGGGACGTGGAGTAGAGAGTGGGAATGGAGTCAATGGAATTGTAATAGATAAGCATGATACCGGGGGTGGGAGGGCAGCAGATGGGGGAGGGGGTTGTTTCTGTGTGAAGGGTGAAAAGAATAACTATTGCATTGCTCTGTACACCTGAAACTAACAATAAAAAAATTAAAGAAAAAAGAAAATGAGATCTGCTGTTCTCATTGCCAGAGCGAGCCCCGTGCCCACCTTGCTGAGCCACCAGGCAAAATTTCCAGGCAGAGCAGACCCACCGGGGCCCTCAAAGAGTTCACCCTCTAGTGTCTACACAGACCTGGAACCAGGGCTTGCCCCTCACATCAAGTCAGAGCCCATCGCCAATTAGGATCTGATATGTTTACACATATAACATTAAGTTTACAAAGTCTTTTTACATATACTATAAGGTACATAAGCTATATAAAAATATACAATATATACAAAGTATATGAAATTGGACAATTAAGTGCATGAACTTTCCACCATGTAAGTGCACAGTAGAGAGTTTGCAAACTTAATTGTCTGAACTTCGTATCTGTGGTGTGTGTGTGTGTGTGTGTGTGTGTGTGTGTGTGTATACCATAAAGTAGTTTACAAAGTGTCTGTGTTAATTATATGTATGAACCACGTACAAACTATGGGTAATGTTTTACACTTAGGACATTAATCGTTTTAGTGGCCAGAGCAACCTCCGCAGGTCTGTGGTATACCCATTTTCAGGTGGATAAACTGGAGTTTGTAGAGCGTAATTGACTTGTCCAGGTTTCTGTGCTTGGGCAGAGGCCCAAGAACATGGATTTTCTGACTCCAGAGTTGCGCCTTTTCCACTGCTCTGCGCTGCCTCTGAGACTTACACTCAGCATCTTACAGCACAAGACCTTGGCCACAGGAGAAGGTGGACAGGAGCGTGCACACAAATAGCTCAATGCAACCCATTGTCTCTGGAGCAAAAGCAAGCCCTTCTCAGGCTCAAGCTGTACTGTTAGTGCTGCCCTGGAAGTTACACCAAGTTCACCATGAATAAGATAGGCGTTAGAGAAGTCGTGATGAAATCTGATGCAGAGAGCGAAAATTGCTCCCGTCCCTCCCAGGGGCCTCTGGCTGGTCCCGTTTAAAGCTCCCTGTTCACCTGCTGTGTCTGCTGCCTCTCTCCCTCACAGGGCTGCTCCTTCCTCTGTGTGTTTGGTTTCCCCGGGGAAAAAGCACCGGATGAGGTCACTCATGCCTTGGAAAGCGCTGTGGGCATATTTGACTTCTGCTCTCAGGTCCACAAAATCCAGTGAGTGTCCACCCTGATCCCATCTGCTGGTCCCTGACCCTTTTGCGGGATATGGGGAGATAGGGCAAGTGTGGGGAGAGGGCGGTTCTTGACTGGACGCCCAGTTCTGCCCACATTCATTCTTCACCTAACGTACAGCAGAGAGGGCAGACGCAGCCTGACTCAGTAGGACAGGGGACGGTAAAGGCAGGGTGGAGAAAGGGACTCCTGAAAAGCCAGCGTGTGCCAGGTTTGTCTCTCCGTGCTTCTGGCTTACTTCCGGGTGGAGGTCGCACTGCCAACACCATGTTGGAGACCTGAGTTGATTTCAGAAAAGTGAACTGAGTTACCACTTCTAAGAACCTAGCTCTGTGTCTCAAACTGTCCCCCCTTCACACCTCCAGACCATGTATAGTTGCCCTGAACTAGGTGCAAAGGGAAGAGAGTCATTGACTGAAAACCCTTTCCCACCGTCCCCCACCCCACTCACCACCATGTCCCCACCCTTCCCGCGTTCTCCTTGACCGTTGTCTTTCTCTCTTTCCCCACAATGCTCTTCCTCCCGGGCGCCAGCACTGTTTCCATCGGCGTGGCCAGCGGGATTGTCTTCTGCGGGATCGTCGGACACTCTGTGAGACATGAGTACACAGGTGTGCTGAGCTAGCTGGGCTCCCGTCTTCTCTGAGCCAACACCGTGTCTTGCTGCTGGGCTTTGTGGGAGGAGGGCAAAGATAAGTGCGGCATGGGCCCTGCCCTCAGCAAGTTTAGTCTTCCAGATGGAGCCAGGCCAGGTAGCTTCGCCCACTGACAGCTCGATGCTTGCACAGCGTGCGTTCTGGGCGACAGAGAGCAGTGGGAAGCTGCCGGCCTGCGGAATGAGGGGCCTCTATAAACTAGTTCCTGTTAACGTTAAACAGTTACTCCTCTTTGCTTCTGGAATAGGTCAGGACTGCTCCTTAATCAGGATGACTATTGGCATAATGCATAATGCTAATCTGAAAAGAGAATAGTAAGTAGGTATTATCTCGAGATTTCACTGCTCTTACTACCATTTCCCTCTTCAACCCTGTTAGGGTTTCCGACGTTCAGAAATAACACAGCTAACATACTGAAATCATGATGCCTGAAATGTTACAAAATTTGAGATTGTCCTCAAGATAATACAGGGTGCGGAGTGGATGGGAGTGAGGCTAAGGCAGGAGTGGCCTTGGGTTAATGTCTTTGGGGACTGGGTGATGGGCATATGATTCACAATACTATGCTTTATTGTAGGGTCAAATTTCTCCCTAATAGTGTTTTCAAAAAGGAATACCTTGATCAGAAGTATGTAAGTTTATGTTAAAGTGCAACACTGAATACCTAACTAGTAGTAATATTAATTGAGGGCTTCCTAGCAGCCAGGCACTGTTCAGAGTGATGTTTGTGTGTGAACTCATTCATCGTCACAAACTACCCTCTGAGATAGGCACTATTTTCCCCATTTTACAGATTAGAAAACTGAGGCATGGAAGGGTTAAAGTAATTTGGTAGCATAGTAGTTAGAGGTAGAGTTGGGATTCAGACCTGCACAGCTTGGCTGCAGAGTCTGTGCACTATAGTGCATTACACCTTAAAATATCCCCTAAATGAAATGAAATGAAAATTTTCACGAGCAGAAACATACAAATGCAATTTTGTGCCTCATTTGGAGGTCAGTGTCTCAGGCCCAAGCTTGTGCTTGTCCGTCTGGAAGCAGCAGACCAACTATACCTCATCTGAGGACCTCAGCCGATGGCGGTCCCACTTTGCAGACCCCTCTCCATATCCAAAGCCCTTCTATCTCGGAGCAGCTTGTCCCCATGGCCTCCCAGCTGAGGTAGAAGCTTTGCTAATAGATGATTGAGTCAACTACCTCCATATTTTTAACAGCCTTTGGCTGAATGTGGGTAGCTGAAGGTGAGAGCTCTGTGTCATTCATGAGGGCAAAGGGAGTAAAGGGTGGAATGTCACTTGGGGACAGTAGCTCTCGGATTACATTCAGTTCAATGGCTGTTTCTCCCTGCCCTTTGCCTTTCTCCTTCCTGTTAATAGTCATTGGTCAAAAAGTCAACATAGCTGCCAGGATGATGATGTACTACCCAGGAATGGTGACCTGTGACTCCGTCACCTACAACAGCAGCAACCTACCGACCTACTTTTTCAAAGAGCTTCCAAAGAAAGCCATGAAAGGCGTTGCCGACTCTGGACCCGTCTATCAGTGTTTGGGCCTTAACGAGAAAGTGTGAGTGAGTGGGGAGCGCTGACTTTGCAGTTGTTTTCTACTAAGGAAAGGGGAAGAATTAGGACAGCAAAGCAGCCACCCACTTCAGAGCCAAAGCCCGTTTATGAAATTGCAATCTAGTCCTTCTCCAGACCAAGGCCCAGATTGCAAAATCCTTCCTCTTTCTCCATCCCGCTGACATTACAGCATGGCGGGAGACCCCCGTTCTACCCTCAGTTCTGTGACTCTGCAGGTGATGCTTCAAAGGTTGTGCAAACAGACCAGAGAACCCCCTTATCGGAGTATCTTTTTAGACCCAGGTGGACCCAGTGACCAACCATTAAGTATTTACTGATCATACTAACTGTGGGCCAGCATTACTAGGACTAACAGAGTATAAGATATTGTTCTTCCTCTAGGTCGTTAGTGAAATATATTCCCCAAAAGCCCAACTTATGTGTATGGGTGTCACTTTGGGGCTTAAAATCCTTCAGTGGCTTCCAATCATTTCATGATGACGTTCCAAGTCCTTGCAATGACATACCAGGTAACCACCTGCCTTTCCAACCTCACCTCCTCCTATGCCCCCTCCTCTGGGGTGCCAAAGTAGATTGTTCTCCCCATCACCCACCCCACCCCCAGCATACTGGGAAAACCACCCACAGTCAAGTTTTGAAATCCAGCTCAGGGCCTGGTCCTCTATGAGGCTGGCACTGGAACGACCTGATCCCAGCTAGGCCCATTCAGCTGTTTCCTCGTCACGTAACACCGCAGCTCATGTGTCTGTTGGAGCCCTCACCACACTCATCACAACCCCTGACTTGGTGTGTTTTTCATCTGCTACCTTGTGAGCTCTCTGAGGATTATGATCTAAGAATGAACAAGACATTCTCTAAAAGACAGCAGTTTCTCTCCCCTTCCCCGGGCCCCACCCCGTTTTCCTTTCTCGCATAAAACCATCTTAGATGATAAGCCATATTTACCCCTCCTTATCCCCAGCTCAGTTCTGGTCATGGACTGGCCACATAGTAAGCGCTCAATAATGATGAGTAAAGGACTGGACAGCACGGGAAGCAGAAAGGTATTATTAGTCTTTCTATTAGCAAGCTAGACTCTAGGTCTGAAAGGATCAGATAATAGAATCAGGGCTGCAGTTGGTTCACAGAGTCTTTATTTTTCATCTTTGTATTCCCAGGGCTCAGCACTGTACTTGGCTTGCGTAGACCATCAATAAAATGCTGTTTGAATAAGTGAATGAATAGTAATAATTTTTGGTGAGCCCTTATTAAATATTAGGCACTTTATCTCAAACTATATGGTTTATTCTTAATATCAACCGTGTCAGGTGGAAACTATTATTCTCTCCATGTTATAAATTAAAAAACTGACACTCAGAGATGTTAAATGACTTGTCCATGGTCATGAATGCAGTAAATACTGGAGACAGGTCCAAATGCCACAATAATGCTACACCATCAGCAACCCCAAAACCACAGTGGAGTTCAACAAACATTTTCTTATCTCACAGATATGTGGGGTCAATTGGCCTTGGGTGGATTTGGCTGATATCGCCTAGACTCATTCACATGCCCTGGGGTTCAGCAGGTCATTGGCTGATCCAGGATGACCCCAGGTGGGATAACTGGGCAGTTTGGTTGACATAACTGAAACAACTTGGCTCTAGGTGTCTCATCCTCCATCAGGCATGCTGTCATGGCAATATCAGAAGAGCAAGCCCAACACAGAAGCATTTTTCAAGCCTCTGCAACCCTTGGGTCAGAGGTAGACTCTTGTTAGAGGTTGAAAAGGAGGTTTTCTGGGAACTAAGAGTCAGTTACTTGCCCTCAGGGTTTCCCTGTTTTGAATCTAACGTCTTCTTTTTTCTTCTTCTCTTCAGCATGTTTGGTATGTCACACATCACCTGCAACAGAAATGATGATTACCCTTTGCTGGGTAGGTAGTGGGCCTTGGTTTTTAAACTTCTCTATTGAACTATAACAAAACATACCGAAAAGTATACCCATGGTAAGTCTGCGGCCTCATGAATGATCACAAATGAACATATGATCACCATCGAGACCAAGAGATAGAAAAAATAGCAGTACTGGGGGAACACCCACAGGCTTTATCTCTCTCCCTTTGCCCAAAGATTTCTAACACCCTAGATTCCTTAGGCCTGTTTTAAAAATTCATAGAGATGAAATGAGGCGCTGTATAATTACATATGCCGTCTGTTAATCAACAGCATGTTATGAAATTCACCCATGTTATTGTCATCAGTTTCCATTGCTGTGTAGTGTTCCATTTTAGAAATATACAGCAGTTTATTCATTCTGTTGTCATATAACGTTTGAGTTGTTTCCAGGTTTTGGTTCTTATGAATGATGCTGCCGTAACGATTCTTTTGGTGAACACATACGCATTTCTGCTGACTGTGGATGTAGCAGTGAAACTGTCGGGTTAAGGGTACAATTTTGGGAGATGATGCCAAATGATTTTCCAAAATGGTTGTATTTATTGATAATTTGACCAGCAGTGTGGTGAGGGTTCCAGTTGCTTCTCATCCTTACCAACCATTTAGTTCTATTGGTCTCTATAATTTTAGCAGTTCTGTTGGACTTATAGTGCTATATCATTGCGGTTTTCATTTGTGTTTCCCTGATGTGGTTGAGCTGCTTTTCCAGATGTTTATTGGCCACTGGACATGGTATTTTTTGAAGGGCCTGTACTCAACTTTTGCCTATTTTTCGATTGGTTTGAATTTTTATTATAGATCTGTTAGAATTGTTTACATGTTCTGGAAATGGGTCCATTGCCATTTGTTTTTACAGGAGATAACGTTCCCATTCTGAGCTTGCCTTTTTACTCTATTAATGCTGTATTTCGTGAACAGAGTTTTTTATTTGACTGTAATCCAATTTACCAATCTTTTTTTTATTGTTAGTGCTTTTGCATATTGTTTAAGAAATCTTTCCTCGCCCAAAAGCCATGAAGGTATTTTTCTAGATTCTTTTCCAGTATTTTTGTTTTACCTTTTACGATTGGATCTATGATCCATCTAGTAGTGATGTTTTTGTGATCCTTGGTGACAGGGACCCTACCATAATAAAGCTAACTTGAGACTAGACAGGGACGTAGACATAAAATGAGGGAGGGACACCCCCTTCTGAGGGACAAGACCACCAGGACGACTGGCCTGTGGATTCTGAAAACAGCCATTTCTAGCGACCCTCGTAACTTCCTTCTGTTCGACCTGAACATCCCTAAAAGTGCCATCATAAATCCTGATCATGGCTGTGTTAGGGCGATGAAGAGGAGGCTCTGTCCCACTCTTTGGGGGAATGTTAGGGCAGAACCTTGATGTCAGTTGAGCCTAAAAGAAGCCAACAGCTCCAGCACCGCAAAGGCACTTGGGCCAGGAGCAGAGCCCCAGCTGCACCACATTCAGGTGGTTTTCAGGCCCTGCAAGCAAATCACTTCTTTTTTTTTTTTTTTAAAGATTTTATTGGGGAATTGGGGGAGGGGAACAGCGCTGGGGAATTGGGGGAAGGGGAACAGACAAGTTGCTGTCCTTTTGTTCTTCAGTCTAGTTGTGGAGGACGTTGCTTCAGTGGCCCAAGTTGGCACCATCATTGCGTTCTTCCCGGGCGAGGCAGATCAGTCGCCGGCTTCTGGACGGTTGCTCACAGCGGCTGCTGACCGCTCACGCTGGCTGCTGGCTACACACGGTAGCCCATGGCAACCCACTGCCACAGGGGCTGCAGCCTACATGCCATCTCTGGCGACTCACGGCAGCCCAGCTCCAGGTTGAGCTGTTGTTCAGCATCTTAGCTGTGGAGGGCAGTGTCACTGGCCCTCATATGCGGGATCTGAACCGGGGCCCTCTGGCATCCCAAGCCAGTTCTTAACCAATGCGCCACTCGGCCGGCCCAGCAAATCACTTCTTATAGGCCCAGATCCCCCAACTCCTGAAGGCTGGAAAGAAGGCGTGCCCACTCTCACCCTCCCTTGAGACTTCACCTTTCATTTTAGGGTACGCTTGTTGTGATAATGGTTGGCAGTAACTGGAAGTCCTAACCCCCTTTTTACAAGATTGTGGGCTCAATGTGACCGTCATATTAGAACACAGCAGTACAATATGTGTACATTTCTCAGTCAGATCTATTAATAGTTGCGTTTTGTCCTGATTCCATCAGCGCAACGTATACATCAGCCCCACGTAGCTTTCTTTAACGCTGTAGCCAAAAGCAGACTGTCAGAGGTCAGCAGTGTGGGAAACGCACTTCTTGGACAGGAGCTCCTGTAAATGAAATTGCATATGCTAACAACACAGATGACAGCACAACTGTAGTTTATGCAAAAGGTGGTTTTCGGGGGTCAAAAATCCATGCAACAGCCCCAGATATTAGAGCCTTGTTTAGATAGAAACAAGGTGCACGTGCTTCAAGTCACTTTGACTTCACCTCATTTCAGAATCCAGCTCACAAGACAATCCATGAGGTCTTACCTGTATGTGCTCTGTATGAACAGAACGTAGAGCTAGAGGATCCTGCTGGGTGGCCTTTGGGGCCTCATCTTCTGAGCTCTAACGTGAGTCTCAGGCCGAAGAATACATCTCACACAGTTCAAGTTCAAATGCGTTTTCAGAAAGGGACTGTTTCACCCCAAAGAAGCAATAAAGTCTGAAGAGTAGTTCTCACTAAACCATACCCAGAAGTTTACATTACCAAGTAAACACTTAGTTTCTTTGTACAAAGCACGAAACTTAGAGTAACGGTCTTCGTGTTCCGTAGGCATTAGATGACACCTGGGTATGTGATCACTCTGTCAGCAGAGAACAGAGGGGCCACCCCACAGTGACCTATCCAGAAAAGAAGGAAGAAGAGGCTCCAAGTGAGTCTCTAGCTCCTTGGACAGACATTGCCCACTCCTTTGAAACTGCAGTTCTGCAGGTTTCCTCCTGTCCACCCAGGTTTCAGACTGTGGGCTGAGTTTCAGATTTTAGTCAGGGCATCCTGCTACGTATATTCAAAAACACACATGAAAAGTAACAGTGATAGGGTTGCAACCCAAGGTGACTTTTATTTTCTTTTATTCCTTTTCTAAATTTTCCATAGTTGCTACAGGAGCATGTGTTAAATTGATAATCAGAAAAAAAAACACTACAATTTATTTTTACTAAAAATTTAGGTTGGTCTTATGATAGGAGTCATCCACGATTTTTATGAAGAAAATTGAATTTACTTATCACTGATAAAGCTGCTAGTAGCCTGAGATAAGTGTAATTTCTCATTCTCTTCACAGAATCGGAAATAAAATATTCTACCTATAATTATTCAGTATAGGAGCTGTATAATAAATTTACTTCATCATGTAATAATCTATAGATTATTTCTACTGTGTTATAGAAAAAAAGAAAAAGGAAAGGAAAATGAGAATTAGAGTCAGCTAGCCCTGGTGTAATTCCTGGCTGTGTAATCTAAGCAAATCTTAGTTTTCTGCACTAAAATGAAATGGACATTGTGATGAGCATTATAAGAATACGTTCCCTCACAGCGTGTGGGAATCAAATAAAGCTGAAACACCACACTGGTAACTGGAAAGCTCTAGAGAAAGATTGAAAATGCTTTTAATGTGCACAGGACCTCCAGAAAGTCCATGAGCGATGCCATGGACACCCCAGAGGGCTTCTTAGGCGTGCTATCACTGTGTTTTCATATCGCCAGACTATTTTACGCTGATTGGGTTTGCTCCCTTTTTAAAAAATAAAAATGACAGGACGTGATAAGGAGATCAGATACTTCATGTACGCAATGAAGGAATTCTTGATGTGCAACTCCAGCCGAGTCCTCATGTACGAAGGATTGTCGGGATATGGAAAAAGCCAGATGCTTAGGGAAATTGAGAGACTGGCCCAAAGCAAGAACCACAAGTGAGTGTCTTGCAATGACCATTTCTTATGAACCCAGAGAATCCTGATACCCTTAAGAGTTTCACCTATTTTAATACTCGTCCCTTGTATAGTATGATTTGCCTTCTGCAAACTACCCACAACCTATCTATTACTGGGGACCATGCATGCTTGTGCTAAATAAATAGCTAATGATAAACATGTTGAACCAAGAAATTGAGAAGCTGGGCTGATTCCTTGAGGTCCTGGTTTAATGCCGGCTGGGCTTGGACATCAGTATTTTAAAGCTTCCTCAATAACCCCAATGTGAAGACAGGTTGAGAGCAATGGGCACAGAAGTTGAGACCAAGGCTAGATTGGGTCTGCAGAACAAACACATAAATTTATCCAGCCAGCTGGCAGAGAATCACCGGTTCAAGCCATGTGGCCTGTGAGGGGGGACAGAGAATGTAGGCCTCTGGACTTGACTCTGAAAGGCAGAGCTAATGTACTTACCTCGTGCTGCTCATCTATTTTCATATAACGAATTCCACGAGGGCTTTTTGGGGCCATCTAGCACCATCACGGTGTGATGGTCAGTATATGGTATTCAGTAACAGTGATGGTGACCAAGGTGGCGACAATGGTGTCTCACGTCCTTTCACCACCTCACCTAAGGCTTTAAGGGGAAAGTGCCTATTAACCTTACATTATTTTTAGCTGTATGTCTGCTCATTTTTAATATCAGGCCTGAGATAGGTCAGTTTCAAAATATCTTTAGCATCGCTGGGGAGATAATTCCTAACCTCCAGAAGACATTCGTTCATTCAATTATACTACCATCACTTAATGAGTAACTGCTATGTTCCGGGAACTGTTAAGTGCTATATTGGTTTGCTAGAGATGCTGGAACAAAGTAGCACAAACTGGGTGGCTAGAAGTCCAAAGTCAAGGTGTCATCAGGGTTAGTTTCTTCTGACAGCTGTGAGGGGCATTCTGTTTCATGCCTTTCCTTTAGCTTCTGATGGTTTGCTGGCAGTTGTTGGCGTTTTAGAAAATTTAAACTTTATTTAATAAATCTTCAGTTATTAAATAAAAATTTAACCTTTTATTTAATAAGAATTTAACCTTTTGCATCAATATATGTAAACACTCTCTTCTGATTCTTGACTTCTTGTAAACAGGACGGTTGCTATTGCGTTGACTAAGATCAGCATCTATAAAAATTTTTACACCATCCAGATACTCATGGCCAATGTATTAGGTCTGGATACTTGTAAACATTACAAAGAGCGACAGACCAACCTCCAAAGCAAAGTCAAGACACTGTTGGAGGAAAAGTTCTACTGCCTTCTCAATGATATTTTCCACGTCCAGGTAACTACCTGACCTGAGACTTCTGCAGACATGGCGATGGGGCAGGTGTCACAGCTCCTCTCTGATGTTTTATGACTGAGAATCTCTTTGGTATTTTTTACCATTTTCATTTCACATCTGGAGGATCTGGGTGGTGAGGAAATGGCTCCCAACCCTCCCTGAATGACCATGCACCTTCCTGAGACATATTGGAGGTGTCAAAGAAATACCGTGCTCAAGAAAACCCAAATGCCACCTACTGATTGATTATCTTTCTCACCTTTCCACATTATTAGCTAGTCCAGGACATAAAGTCATTCCACTCCCACAGATGACTGCCAGTGTCAAGGCAGAGGGCGCCCTGTTCTTTTCTGCATCTCGTAGGTTCAATGACATAGGGTATTGGAACTGGAAGGGGCATTACGGGTTATCTAACACATGAGTATTTTAAGGCACAGAACAGTCAAGTGATTTTCCCCAAGTCACACAGCTAGTAGCTCTCTGTGCTATTTCCCCATATTCAATAGTCTCATTGTTCTTTACACAGTTCCCTATTTCACGAGAGGTTTTCACAATGAACACCTTGAGGAGGCAAAAGCAGTTGGAAGCATTGTTTATGAAGATCTTGAAGCAAGTAAGGACGTCTGTGGGTCAGGTAACGGGGCAGTGGTGGGGAGGAAAACTGGGCAGCTCACCACAAAGGTAGGTGGCCTGAGGGGTTCAGACTCTACTGGCAAGAGGCTTGGAAGTGTGTGAAAGCTTTTATCCTAAAGCGTTTCCTTCTCCTCCATCCTTCCAAACCTCGAGCTAAGAGTCTGTTCAGCATGTAGCTATACTGAATGGAGTCCCTTAACATTACTCCTGAGAATTTGACCTCTCCTGAAAACCGGCCCCTTTGGTTTCTTTATCGGTATGAGATGCAGCCTGTCTAAGTGGTTACGTATGCAGGCGCTGCTGTAGGTAGACTGCCACGGTTGGAACCCTTAGGCCTGTCACTTGCTACCTGGGTAACCTTGAGCAAGTGACTTAACCTGCCTATGCTTTCGCTTTACCATCTATAAAATGGGGGAAATAATAGCACCTAGCTCACAGGGTTGTGACGTTTAAATGACTAGGTTATATATAAAACATTTAGAACAGTGCCCCTTCCGTCAGAAACGTACAACCGGTGTTCGCGCTCTGAGTAATCTCCTGACCGCCCACGGTGTTGATGATAACCAAGTCTATACTCCAGTCTCCTCCTGTCTGATGAGCACCAGAACGGCATTTTCAAAAACCTTCTATATATTCCATGTAGATGCAGTAACTCCCACTCAGTTTTGTGTCTAGTAGTAAAATTCATTTTCCCCCCTACTTCAATGCCCTTTCTTCCTCATTCTGATCCTGATCCTTGATTCAGTGAGTGGCAAGCTCATTCGCACTCGCTGAAAGTTATCTGTGCTCCCCGCCTCGCCAGTTGTCACATCTGTACATCGACCCAGTTGCCAGGTCCTCCTGTTCCTCCGGTGGGCGGCGTCTGGACTCTCGGGCCTGCTCTGGTTCAGGCTCTGCTTCCTTCTGGACCGTTGCTGCCGCTTTGCGACCGATCCCTGCACCTCACACCTCTCCACTCCAATTCCTCCTCCCTAGAACTGCCAGCATACGTGCAAATCGCACCAACCTGCACTTGATCCTCTCCAAATAACTCCCAATGCTAATGAGATAAAAGCCAACGGATTGTTTTGTTTTGTTTTTTAACCTGGAGAAATGCTACTTGTCCTTCAATGTCACCTCTTTGGTGAGAGACCCCCAAATCACGGGGCATATCTAATTCCTCTTCCACCATGCTTCTATAACACTTCGAACATATTTCTGATTCTATTTACCCCACTGTATTGCAATTTGCTACTACTTATCTGTGTGCCTCTCGCCCTCAGGAGATGTGAGCTTCCTAAGGACCGGGAGCCCTTACTCATTTTGTATCACTACTGACCAGCAGTGTCTGGCACATAATAAATGATCACCATGAGTTTGTGGCATTATATCAAGTTTACAGTCAAACGTCCTCTTCTCCACTCAGGCAAATAAGCAAGGCAAGATCGGTAGTTTCTGAATGTCAAGCTTTGGACTGTTGGCATCACAAGTATCCAGGAAGCTTCATTAAAAACATGGGTCTATGAGCCTGACCCCTAAAGATTCAAACGGGCTAGAGTTGGACTCAGGGGTCTGTTCAGCTGTTTGCTTTTAATTCTGGTTCTGATGCACAGTCTGGTTTGGAGACTGCTCCTAAGGCTGCGCTTTAACTATAGGCTACGTGACGACAGTCTTTGGCTCATTGACTCTCTGTGTGACTTGGGCAAGTTACTTAACTTCTCTGTGCCTACACTCTCTCAGTAAAGAGATTCAGTAGTGCCACTTCCTGTGCGTGTTCTGAGGATTAAACGAGTTACTCTGTGTAAAGTGCATCACACATCTGTGAACAGCGTTGATGCAATGTAAAATGCTGGCTTTTATTCACATTAGAGAGAATCCAATTCAGTCTCCTCATTTTAAATATAAAGACACTGGGGCCCATGATGGAATATTAAATTCAGGCTCTTTGTGTTCCTGCTTTACTCTCCTCAATGCACAAATAAAGCACTGACACCACCACTAATTAAAATGTCCCCAGGGTCTGTGAAGAGCTAAATTTCCCATAACACAATGGGGCTGTCAGAGGAAACTTAGGTATATGTGATAAGACAGGTTAGAACACCTGATAATGATTGTCCCGTGAGGCTTGAAATTTTAAAGTAGCCTTTGCTGCTTTTGTTTATAAAAACATAGAGGAAAAGAGCAGGCAATTCAGCCTTTTCTCAGAGGGAACTGAAAAAAGCCAAGAGCAGCGTGGGGCAGGTTTTTTCGGCTTAGACACCTCACCCTAAAATGTAAGGACACTGTATCCCCAGCGCAGAGAAGAGTACCTAACCCTAATAGAGGACCAGTAAATGCTTAATGAGTGAGTAAATAATTCAGACCAGTTAGGGGAAGGTAGTCTACATGAGAACAGGGACACACTCTGTGTAAAGTGCCACATACACTGTAGTTCAAGCTAGAACCGCACAAACTGCCATCGGACGAGGGCTGGCTCAGTGGCCCTCAGGCTGTGCACCCTGCACCTAGCCCAGTGTGTGCTCAGTCAGGACGTGCAGAATAGATGTTGGCTGGGTGAATGCCAAGTAGGCTGCCCCAGGAGACCGTCATCTGCTACTGACTAAAATGATTTGTAGGAAACATCAGTTATTCTTGTGTAACATCCTTGACTTGGCTACAGCCCCATCTAGCCTACAAAGGCGCACTATCTTTACACAAAAATTTGACCAAGTAAGAGTCCATTCCGGCCAGCTCTGTCCAAATTGCCACAAATTCCAAGTTCGTGGAATCTAAATTACTGCAAAGTTACTGGACAGAAAAGATTGAACTCAGCACCACAGAACCAATGGATTACACACATGCATACCTATACATGTGTGTAAAAACCCAGAGTCCGATAGCGTTTTTCTTTCTGTTCCTCTGCCTTGTCCAGACAGGGAAAGAAGAAAGGATTATTTTCATCATCGACGAGGGCCAGTTTGTCGATACGGCCTCCTGGGCCTTCCTGGAGGAGCTTATCCAGGCTGTCCCTATCTTCATCATCATGTCGCTGTCCCCCTTCCTGGGCATGCCCTGTGCAGCTGCCAGCGCCATCATGAAGAGCCGGAACACCACCTACGTCACCCTCGGCGCCGTGCAGCCCGAGGACATCCGAGACAAGGCCTGCCTAGACCTCAGTGTCAGGGGCATCCCCAAAGAGCTGGACTTGTGAGTAGCCTGCTTCTGTCCTGATGTCTTGACATCTGCGTTCATTGCCCAGGTCCAGACTCCATCGGGTTCCTTAAGATGCGGCTCCAAAGGCCTATTTCCACATTCTTGCTGGTCCCGCCTTTCCAAGGGGCCATTCATCACGCCTGGAAGGAGAGATGCTGCCCACGGTTTCCTCCTCCAGAGGGGTCCCTGTTACACCTCTGAGACTTGGCTGAGTGACATCATTTTTCTCTCCCTTTCCTCATGAGGGGTGTGGTGTATTCTCGAATCAATCCTTAGTCAGGATAGCGTCATGGGCAAGGGACATGAACGACAAATAGGTAAACATGAATGGCCACACCTGGAGCCAGGCGAGGCCCTCCTCGGCTGGCAGTGACGCGGTCTGCTGCTGGGGCTGTGTCCACGCAGGCTGAAGGCTAGCTCTCGAGTCGGTGCCCCCTGAGCTTCTTGGTGACTCCTCTGGGGGTCTGGACAGCGGTGCCCTGAGCAACTCAAACAACACCGCCTCTTTAGCTGGCTGTTTACAGCCCACCTCGGCATCTGCCTCTGAGGAGGTTGCCTTGCTTCTGAAAGAGAAATGTCTTGGTCATAGTCTCGTTTAAAATAACTCCAGGCATGAATGTAGCACGCTCTCTCCCTTCGTCTCCCTGTCTCTGTATATGTGTATATATTTGTTTTGTATGTATGCATATGTATATGTATATAAGTATATATACATGTATGTATATGCATGTACACACTATATATATGCATGTGTGTATATGTACATGTATGCATTTACCTTTTGACCTAGGAATGTATCTCAAAGATATGTTGAAAATATGAAGTGACATATGAACAAAATTCTTATTGAGGCATTATTTGTATAAGTATGCCCATCTCTAAGGGGATAGGTAGTATCAAGTAGAAAAACAAACGAGAAAGATCTCGCCATAGGGAGGGATGACCTGGGGCAGTCACATTGATAAGTGGAAAAACAGGTGCAGTCGTGTGTGCTGTGCGCACAGCACGCTGTCTTTTATGGAAGAAAGAGGTGAAATTCGTATGTGGGTGGATTTGTTTATAGTTTCTCAAAGAAACACTGAAAAGATAAACCAGCAACTAATTAAAATGGTTACTTACAAGGTGAGGAAGGGAAGCAAGACCGAGGATGTATCTTGTTACATAGTTTTGGCTTTGGAAAGACAGCAAATGTTTTACATAATTTTTTTTAAATGAAAGAAAAAAGGAATCCCTAACAATGAAAAACCAAAACCAGTGGAGAACAAAAAGAGAATTTTCAAGGGATTGAGGAGACTAAAAGGTTCTCCTTCCTGAAAGATGGGTCTTCGACGTGAACAGGTTACCTTGTTTTCACCACAGGTACCTGGTGGAGGGAAGCTGTGGGATTCCATTTTACTGTGAAGAGTTGCTAAAAAACCTCGACCATCACAGGGTCCTCCTTTTCCAACCGATGGAGTCTGAGGAAAAGACCAATGTGACCTGGAATAACCTGTTCAGTAAGTCCCACGGCAATGGTTCTCTCTCATTCTGTTCCTCTGCCGAGAGGGGGGCTAGAAAGAAAGAAAGGGTAGGGCGGCCGGGTGGCTCAGTTGGTTAGAACGTGAGCTCTGAGCAACAGGGTTGCCAGTTCGATTCCCACATAGGCCTGTGAGCTGCGCCCTCTGCAACTAGATTGAAGACAATGACTTGAGCTGAGCTGCCGCTGAGCTGCCGATGGGTGGCTGGATGGCTCAGTTGGTGGGTGCACGTGCTCTTAACAACAAGGTTGCCAGTTCAACTCCCACATGGGATGGTGGGCTGTGCCCCCTGCAACTAGTTTGAAAAGGTAGCATCTCTTCCATGAAAGGAAAGCATATAAAGACATAATTAAAAGAAAATTTTGGCTTTGAAATCAGGGGTCCAGAGTTCCAACGACACATAGGCCATTTAATTACTTATATTTTGGAACTAGTCACAACCTTCTTTACCTGCTGTAAAATGGGAGTAAAGGGACTCAAATCCTTATTCATTTTTCATTCAACAAACATCTACCAAGAGCATTCATCCGTCTTTCACCATTAAGTATGCTGTTAGCTGTAAGTGTTTTGGAAGACACTCTTTATCAAGTTGAGAAAGTTCCTTTCTGTTTCTATTTTTCTGAGAGTTTTTTTCATGAATGAGTGTTGAATTTTGTGAGATGTTTTTCTGCATAGATTGTTATGATTATGTGAATTTTCTTTTCTGTTAATGTGGTGTATTACATTGATTGGCTTTCAAATATTGAACCAGCCTCGCATCCCTGAAATAAACACCTAGTCATTTTCTATTATTATTTGTATATATTGCTGAATTCTATTTGCTTAATATTGTATTAAGGATTTTTGCATCTACATTTATGAGGGATATTGTTCTGTAGTTCCCTTCCTTTCTTCCTCTCTCCCTTCCTCCTTCCTTCTTTTCTTTCTTTCTTTCTTTCTTTCTTTCTTTCTTTCTTTCTTTCCTTCTTTTTCTTTCTTTCTTCCTTTTTTTCTTTCTTTCTACTGTTTTAATCTGATTTTGTCATCAAGAAAGCAGTTCAACAGGCAAGAGAATAGCAGAGGGAAGGCTGTGTAAGAAACTATAATAATGGAATATCAAGAAGTGATGATGGATGGCACAGTGGGTTATTTCCAATTTTGCGCAATCTCACCCAGAAAGTAGAAGAGGAGGGAACACTTCCCGATTCATCAGATGAACAGTCTTCCATGTCCTGTTCTATACTTGCCTCTCCTATATGCTGCTTCCAGTATTACCTCCCTAAAAATAATTGTTTAGATTAACACTAGGCCCTCTTCAGGAACCTGTGATAGTTCCCATTACCTATGGAATAAAGTCCAGACTTCAAATTGTGATGATGACAAACGCCCTCCATCCTGAGCTCCCAAACTCTTTCTCCAGTACACCTCCCACAGCAGCACTCCAACTCCCCACGCACTCTGGTCTCCTTCTAGCCCCTAACTTGCCAAGTGCTCGGTGGCACTGATCACCCATCTGTTCTCCACTTGGAATATCCCTTCGTGCTTCAAGGTTCAACCAAAATACCTCCTCCTCCAGGAAGCCTTTCTGAATCCACCAAGTCTGAAGTAATTGTTCTTGCTGCCCCACTCCCACACCAAGTTGCTCTTGGCTCTTTAGCTGTTCAGTCACTTTTCCTACTATTAGGATTAGTTACTGAAAGTCTGTCTCATAGATTTTAAGACCCTCGAGGGCTGGAAGCACACGCTGTTCACATTTACCACCTTCACGGGCGATGGTGGATAAAAGCTTGTGCTGTGCTGATGTGAACTTCCCAACACTTACTGTTTGTGCCCACTCACGTGGCACTCACTCACTGCCTGGCAGCCTAGCTCTCTGTGCACAGGCTTTATCTCTCCAGATGAGGAGCTGAGTTACATTCACCTTCGTAGCCTCACATCGCCCTATCCCAATGTCTTGCCGTTCAGGCGTTACATGAATGGCTCGGGGAGGAAATAAGTATTGCATTTTGGGAGTACCAGGAGACACAATTACTAGGCAAGTTTCCGATTCAGACCTCACCATTTTTAATATCACTTTCTGATATGAACCATGTCATAAGTAGAGCACTGCCTCCCCATGTCCATGTTTGCTCTACGTGTGCATATTTGAATGTGCATGCACGTGTATGTTATTATAGACTATAAGGTACATCCTGACAGTCTTTGAATCAAATTTGTGTAAAAGTGCTTGTACTACGGTAGACTTCCAAAAGTTATTGACCAATCCTTTGGGGTGAGGGCGGGGGTGGGGGGAACGGGGCGGGGAGGTGTCAAAGCATCTTTTGAGTAAACTTAGATTTTCATGTATTGGTTTTACTTAAAACACAGTATTCCAGAATATTTGGTGGGCCAAACATGCATCTCTTCCTGCTCACGTGAGATCCATCTCGAAGTTGGTTGGATAATCAGGATAATGACAAAACAGTGACTTGAACTTGTCTTCCCTTTTGTCTCCCTATAGGGAATTTCGCTAAGCTAGCAGAGGGATTGAAAACAATCCCTTTCGGAGGTGGTGAGGAGAGTAAGGAGGTCTGTAACCTTACTGATGATGTCAGACTGAAAAACTTGTCACCGCCAGCATCCTTAAAAGGTAACGATAACTCGACCTGGTGTTCATTTTCCAGGACCTAGACACCCCACCCCCATTTTTGCTCCCTCTAGGATGACTATCTATAAAACAAGAAAGGACGATAGTAAGATAGTAAGTGGGGTTGTTTTCCGTTGCCCCAGGCAGGGGGAAGGCTCCCCTCGAGGCTTGACTTTTCTGCTCCTAATTAGAAGCCACCTTCCCCCTGTACATATTCCGGAGTCTGATTTGAACAAAGTTTTCCTCCACTGCATACCAGAATGAGGGATAGTACATTTTCAATTAAACAGAAAGCAAATAACGAGAGAGGAAATGTAATACTGAGACGTTTTCTACCATCTGCTTTTATAAGAAATGACAAAGAAGGGAGTTTATATCAGAGAGGTATAATTATTCCTTTTAGGGAAAACAAATTTAAAGCAGTGTTCTCATATGCATTCAGCTCCAATTCATGCCTTCTATAAAGAACTTCAGATGTTTTGAAGGATGACCAAAGGACGCCCCATGGTTTTCAGTCCCCAAAAGAACGTCTAGCTCTTTTTTGTGTTTTCATCCCCTAATGCCTCCTACACTTGGAAGGTGGACTAGCTGAGCCTCTCGTGTTCCGTGGAAAAGTTGGAAGGTTCTCATTTTGTCCCTGATGAGGGTGATGTGATGGAGGGACATCCTGGTCAAGATGTCCCGGAAGCCACGTGCTATGATGCTGAGCTTAGATGAGAAGTTGGGATTGGAGCCAGGAACTCTCTGACACTTTGTCATAAGCATAGAGATGGTAATGGATTGTCATGAGAATAAAGGGAGCTCGAGGGAAGAGAGAGAGAAGCCTTCCTGCTGGGGGGTCCCGGGAGGAAGAGTGGTTGGAGAAGAAGGCAGAGAAGGAGCAGCTAGAGGGGTCAGCACAGAGCCCAGAGCATGGACGCAGGCCCATCGTGAGCCCTCTTCTCCTCAGCAGCCCTTGATCACACTTTAACACAGCATCAGGACACCTCGACGCCGATCTGATTTTTGTCTGGCTCTTGTGCCGCACGTATCTGTAGACCATAGCATCTGTGTTTTTTGTGCTCCCAGCATAAGTGCCATCTGTGACGTAGGCGCTAAGCAAACGCTTCTTTTGGCTTTGCTTGGCTGGGTGTCTGGGAACAAGAACTATAGAGGAGGGTGGTTGTCGGTCTCTAGAAGGTATTCGGTAAAGACAGCTAACCGGTTCCCTCTGTGTGGCTTTCCACCTGCAGAAATCTCTCTGGTGCAGCTGGACAGCATGAGCCTTTCCCACCAGATGCTGGTGAGATGCGCTGCCATTATCGGCTTGACCTTCACTGCAGACTTGCTGTTTGAGATTCTCCCTTGTTGGGACTTGAAGGTGATGCTCAAGGCCCTGGCAACTCTAGTGAAATCCAACGTCTTTGATTGTTTCCGGGATGGCAAGGAGCTCCGCATGGCTCTGAAACAGAATGCGGCCTCGTTTGAGGTGAATTATCGCTCCCTGTCTCTGAAGCCCACTGGAGGAATAGGTGGGTAGAACCTGCAGGGACTCATTTTCCTTTCAGGGAAGGAACTGAGGGGCGCTCGGTAGCAGGAGCCGGGCTGCGCACGCCGCCTGGCTGAGAGCATTCTCCGTCCCCTGCAGCCCATGGTCAGCAGGAGGAGCTCCGTGAGCTGGAGAGTGAGGTGATCGAATGCCACATCTTCCGGTTCTGCAGGCCGATAATGCAGAAGACTGCCTACGAGCTGTGGCTGAAGGACCAGAAGGAGGACATGCACTTGAAGTGCGCCTGTCTCTTAGAAGAAAACGCCCACAAGTGCAACCGCTGCCGCAGCGGGGACTTCATCCCCTATCACCACTTCACAGTGGACATTCGGCTCAACAACCTGGACCTGGACACCATTAAGGAGATGGTCAAGTCCCAGGGATTTAAAGGTAGACTTTAAATTCCTCCATTCCTGATTCATCCTAACTGGTCCTGGGGCCTGGGGCGACTACAACCCAGAGGGAGTGAGCCAGGACCTTGAGGGTTCCAAGTGCCCCGAGGGCCCGGCCACAGCGAGTGAGGAGTGGGAGAGCATTATTAATGCAGGGCTGAGGGGGCCAGGGCTCCCAAGAGGCCTGAGTCTCAGGGCAGGGATTTAAGACCACCTGTGAAGCAAAAGCGAGAAAGTTACAGACTGATAACGCAAACCAGCCATGTGACCTGGTAAAACAGAGGATTCGGGGGTTTAGGATTCAAGGGCCCAAGGGCTCAGTCACCGCCGGCATCATGGGTGTCAGACATAGGGCAGCAGCGCCCATTCCAGCCCTCACTCGTGGGTGGCCAGGGGGCTGCCTGTCCTGGCCAATGGCCTTGGAGATTATGGCTAAATCTGGTTGGGGAAGCAGAGACTACACGTAGAAGATCCCTATATTACAAGGATATCAAACATGGGGAAGAAATGCATGTGAAGTGCCTCACGCATCATAGGTACAAAAAATATAGTATTTTCATGCATTCTCCTTTGATCCTCACATCAACCCTTCGAGATGGAGGGTTCTTTTCATTTTATACGTGAGAAAATTGAGGCTCTGGAAGATTAAAAACTTGTGCAATGCCACAGAACAAATGATAGACTTTATTCAATACCAGGTCAAGGTGATTCCCAAGTTCATGCTGTGCATGTTACGGCTGAGCTTCCCCGAGTGCAGGGTTGGGTTTGTCGGTGATACTGGGCACGGAGATTGGGAGAGGTTCGCCGACACAGCGTGAGGTGTGCATCGGAATGAGGACGGCGGTTTCCTTTCCGTTCCCTCTCAATACTCTATCGAGGGGAAAGCAGCTTTGCACTAACGGTGAGTGGTTCAAGTCTATCATTGCCACCACACTAAGTGGCCAATCTCCCTTTTTCAAAAAGAGAAATCAGGCTTCAGGTCACGAGCCTCAGAGTCTATATGGAGAGTCTGTACGTGCGGGTTTCAAGTCCCCTGAGGGCTTGGGCACGAAGATGATAAGACTTTGGCAGTGGTCCCATTGGCGCAGGGAAGTATCAAGAGCATGCAGACGTAGCTGACTCTACTGTTTCTTACTAGCACTTATTACAGTTCCCCTCGTGCGTTACGTTTTTCCAAAGTTATAAATATGTTTTTCCAGTACTATTATACAAGTAGCATATGTGTGACATGATGTTGGAACTGAAATTTGTACCAAGCACTAGAAGACCATGGATGCTGCAAACCAAAGTGAGGTAAAGAGATGGATGAACAGATTAACAAAGGAAATAGCTGAGCATCAGCTATAATCTTGGATCCTTCATCCAGATCCAAGACATAAGCATGAGGAAGAGAGTGGAGAGGGTCAGGGTTTGTGAAGAGATGTCTTTGGGGAGAACCCACGAGGCTCCCTGTGCCCTCAAGTTGGTTGCTTCCTTCATCACCTCAACCCTACTAAAGTGTCTTCCTTGAGGACACAGAGGACGGGGCATGCCTCACCTTTAAGAAGGTTAGAGTGGCCTGTGGTGGCACTGGGGCCAACCTACCCTCCCAGAGTTTGGGAAAGGATGTGTGAGGATTTTTCATGGCTCTGTAGTTAAGGGTAGATGCCAGGGCTTAGAGATATAAAATTGAAAGTCATTGGCACATGGATGGAATTTAAGGTCAAGGGCAGATGAAATTCCTGAGAAAGAAATGTGGATGAAGAAGGGAGCCCAGGACCAAACTGAGGCTTACCAACGTTTGGAATGTTGGTAGCGGAGTCAGAGCCGTCGACGGAGGGAACTGAGGGAATGGGTGTTACAAAAGCCGGCTAAAAGGAGGTCAATTGTATAATATTAAAAAGGTGACAAAGAGGTAACCTTCGGATTCAGCAACAAGGTGGCCACTGGTAACCCTGACAAGAGCCATTTTAGAGGCATAATTGAATTTACTCAGCGTCTAGTCACTAGAGGTATGCCAGATGGCAGTTTGGGGGAGGAGGGGGCAAATTAACCCTCATACAGTGTGATCAGGACCATGAGAGAGGTCTGTGTGGGAGCCGATGGGCCCCCTCAATTTGGGGCATTAATTCCATGGAAGCAAGGGCACAGAAGGCTTTCAGAAAAAGGCGATATCTAGATGCTTAAGCTGCATTTTTATAAATTAAAAGATTTACAAAGTAATGCATTCGCCTTGAAGCCAGGAGACCTAGGTTCTAGTCTGTCTCCATCACTAACACATCCCTGATCTGAGACAAGTCTCTTCTCTGTAGGGTCTTCCCTTCTCCCTCAGTGGAGAGGTGGCTACGCGAGACAACCCTCATTTGTTTTCCGTTTTAAGATCATGATGGAATTTTCTAACTTCATGAAGTTAGGACTGACTGAAGGTTTTACATTCAAGGCTCTCTGGCCTTTAGTTAGCCTTTGTGGGGGGGAGTACATTTCCATGTCTATTTCTCCACTAAAAACCAACGCCACTTCCTTCTGGATCGTTAATTCATAGTTTTAGTAATTGCAGGGTGCATGAGCTGGGCGAGTGTTGTCATCAGTAACAAACCCTACCATTTCAGTGGCTTCACACAATAGAAGGATAGTTGTTTTTTTTTCCTGCACATGTAATCATGTGGCTTCACTTAACGATGCAATGGG